TTATGACTCGTATGTATTAATGATGTACTGTATTTATTTTACAATATGTATTGTGATTTTATAGGCATTGTGAGTTCGAAAATGTCGACTATGCCGGACAATCTGAACGCGAGGACTAGATTTAATAATTCACGCTAGAATGCGAGGATAGATAACATAACTGAGAACAGGTGCATTATTGTCTTTACCCTCAATCTGCGTGAATACACTTATAGCAAAGGACTCTGTCCTCTGAGAATTGTTCGTTCGTCGAACAGCTACCCGCAACTAGATGATATAATGGAATGCTAGAACTCACCTATTCCTTATGTTATACGCCTTGACCTGATGAAGTCAACATTGTCTCCGTGTAGAATACATCTAAATTTGTGGAAGAACCCGGATCACTTACTTCCGGATATCCATAGGATCCACCATTCGGACTCAGTATGTGATTATAATATTGTACTTGATTAATTGTACTATGGGCACTCAGTGTTTGCTGTGGTAATTAGGGAGAGTTAATTCCCAGATCAAGACAAGCGGTTGTGTCAACAGAGGAATAGGTTGACGAATAAGGCAAACACAAAGATTTCAGATTCTTGTGCCCCTCACTCTGCTGCGGGTGATTATAGTGCTGTCAATCTATCTGTGTAGTTGAGTAGGCTTAAGCGTGGCGGAGTCACGTAAGCGACTTAATCACTGCCCCACAGTCGATGCAGCTAACGTGTGTGGTTCCGACGACGCAACGCGAAGCTTGCGACCTGGAACCGAATTTCGAGAGTATCGTGGCGAACGACTTGAATGAGAGTCGTGTACGACACTGATGAGCAGCATTTGATTAATGGGCACCATGATAAATGTATTGAGGCTGGTAGCGCACTGTCAGTGTAATCGGTGTTTGCCGGGCGGAGTTCTTTCGTCTAACTCCCACGCGCTCGTTTATTCTGAGGAAAAAAAAACTGTGCCTTGAATGTATCCTACATATGTGTCCAAACGCTGCTATGACGTTGTGGTACAGCAGCATTTTTGCAGCACGGATTTGCTGAAAATAGAAGCGAAAGTCATACTGGTTTCAAAAATATGAGTTTATTAAACATAATTTAAGATCACTTCCAAAAAAAATCTTGTCTCGTTTTTTTTCGTCATTTCCAAAAAAGGTGTCGATAGTCTTTCTTTACACCCTCTGTGAGTTCAAAGAAAACAATTAAATTATTACCTTACCGTATAGGAATCTCTTGATATCGGCTGTTGTAATATTACGAATGGTCCTGTCATTATTAACGTTCGCTTCGTTGAGATAAAAATTATTGTTATAGTGTGGGGTCAAGAGACTTTCTTTCTTAAAATTCAAATTTTGTTCCGGTAAAGAGAATAATAAAGTTTATCGTTGTTATGATGGTAAGTTGCTGGATGGCGATATATATAATTATATATTATTCAAGATCAATACTACTTATAAATGGGAGTGTTTTCTATACTGTTATTATAGTTTCATTTTTGGGATATTGATAGTATAATTGTTAATTATATATATATATGCCTAAAGAAACTTATAACATCGAATGTTAACTGCCCAAGGACTGTATTTCCGTAATAAGCTTAGCATTATAACATAGGCATTTAAATTGGCTCTTTAGCTCTTGCGTGTGTTACAGGATGTGTTGCACGGAGAATAAGCTCTGATTCTATTATATAATATTAAATTTATAGACCATATATTAATTAAAAGATAATTTAGATTCTGTTAAGATTAATAGTGTGACCAATTCTTGTCACTTAGCACAAGCAGCAGTGGAATTTTAGTACCTAGAGTCTACCTTTTCGTTTTTGATATATTGTAGACTTGTATAGAACTTTATAGTCTAAAATATTATCCTCAACTCATATGAATGATGGTTGTCTGTTGAAATTCTTACGTAGGTTAATAGAATTCGCCTGCGAGGAGAATGCTGAGTGATGTCAGTGCGCCGCGCTATTACTCGTATATACTGCATGAATGTGACATCTTTTTGGGGCATCCATAATTAACTCCATTAAACCGATGTTTAATTTTACTATGCGTTCTACGACAGATTCGTTTATGATATTTCCTTCGTTTGATATCAGCTCGTAATTAACTATCGTCATAATCAGTGTGGTATTTTAGGGTATCCCGCTCGGAAAACTAGTATATATTATCCTGACAAAGTACGACAGCAGTGTGTCATGGTTACCTCTTGGAAACTCTTTCTATAATGAGACTAACAAGTCTCTAGCGCGAGAGCTCGTACGATTATGATTCTTGCCGTGATCTAGTATGCATTGGTTTCTTGGATTCTTTATACGTATTTTTACAATGGTAGTAACCGGTAAATTGGTGTCTATTTGGCCTGTCAGCTAATTATGTTATACCATTTTAGTATTTGCCAATTAGAATAATCTGTGCTGTGACCGTGCAATAGACATGATAGGGTAGAGCATCGGAGAACTCTGAGGGTTGTTTTCTTATAGATGAAATTTTAGTTCTCTATAACAGAGAAATATTTATAAAGTGAATTAACAAGAAAAATAATTTTGTTTTGTGTTTTTGTGTTTTTTTTAATTTTAATTTTGATGTGTTGTCACCTATATTATACGACTCAGTGTGTCTACATTTCTTGCGATGGCTTTTTTTCATTCTTCGTATACATTTAGCGTAAATATTAATTGTTAGTGAATAGAGTAATTAGTACTTTTTCAATGTCGATATAAAATTTGAATATCTGGCGATTTTCTCCTGTTCAAGTGTGATTGAAGTTAAGAAAAATTGATATGACCGAGAGTTTCGTGCACTAATATACGAATAAAGTGGTTAAGACACCCTATCATGGTAAATGAAGCAATAAAAATGCCTCTCGAGTCGTGATGTAATGTTAACTATCTAGAAATTGAATACGTCAGTTGAGTGTGTGGTATATATATCTGAGGAACACCAAAACCCATGGACGCTTTTAAAAACCGTTCGGTCTCTTATGAATCGATTCCATCTTAGCGCCTACAACGGTATGACGGTACACGTACGATGATTTTTCGTAATTATAAATATTCCCAGTTCGAATCTGGCTACTTATCTTCACTGACAGTCCTGACAGCTGATTAGTTTTGAAAAACGTTCTTCATAATTATTCATATGTTATTTTTGTGCTTTATTTTATTGAGTATCTTAAGCTAATCATGTATTACTCTCTCTTATCTACATATATATGATTCCTTCGGTATCTATTATTTATATCTTAGTGTTTTTCGAAAGCGGCTCCAAAGTTTCTTTTAGTAAGAAATAAGAGTAAAGTACGCTTTTAAGTGACATAGCGTCCGATTTTAAGGGTTCATTCTCAGTTTTTTGAAAATTTTACACGGTCTGAACTTATTTTGTTGTCTTTCCTACAACTTAACAATTCAACATACATATTCATATTCTTTTGTGAAATTGAGTCATTATCTCGTTCTAAGCGTAGTGTGAATACCCTTCTTTCTATTTAACCGGTCATGCCACATTAGAAATAAATAATATTGTTGTTAATTCCTCACAATTATATCTGTGCTAATATTAGTGTGTTCGCCATAATTATTAATAAAAAGGGGGGCCTGGTGCCCTCAAGAAATATGCATTACCCCAGTTAAAAAGATGCATTTTATTAGGTGGATGTATAACAGATTAGACCTGTGGAGCACTTGCTTCATTAAGAATTAGAGAGAATCTCGATAGTATAGTTAAATAAGTATGTCTTGATGTTCATGTAGAAGCCTGTGATATATTGATTCATGATTGACCTATTGACTAATACTGCGATATAAATCAGTGTGTATTAGGCGTGCGTGCCATGTGATCTGGATTGATAATTACAACAAAATTTAGTGATGTAACAAGACAATTATATCAGATAGACCAACATTTTGTACCTTGTATCGGGCAATCGTTCATTACTTGGTGTGTAATACTTCTCAGTGTCCAAGATAGATTTGGCGAACTAGAATCATTCTACAGAAGAGTATTCCTTAATAATAACAAAAGACGACTTTGATGTAGAATAAATTATAGATAAGTACCTACCTTGAGTATATTGATGATACTAATTATGTAATATATTATTGTAGGTACTAATATATGAAATGTAAGTTATATCTAGATATAGTTTTATATTAAATGCAACGACTTGCCTTGAGAATTAGACAGTACACCATACATAAATTAATAATATGTACAAAGATTTGAACATCTCAAACAATTATAATCAGTAGGAGACTATCTCTCCGCGAGAGAAGCTATAGTCACGCATCAGAATGAACAGCGACAAGTCCGTTGGATGCCACCATTGCCTTACCGAAGTGCAACAGCTCAGTGCAAATATGTGGACAATTAAGCTGAAGTAACATGTGTCTATTGTACGTATGTATGTATGTATGGCATTTGGGTCGAATGTTCGACTATGCCGGCTATCTGACGGCGGGCTTAGTTTAATTCACGCTTGGGGTAAGAAAGACATACAGTGAACATGGCATATTCCCTTCACCGTCACAAGCAAACTCTGCCTGCCTGAGATTTTCTTCGTCGAACAGCTACCGCAACTAAGATGATATTAATGGAATGCTAGAACTCTATTTTTACCCTGACCGGAAATCGAACCCGGGGTCACCGAAATGGAAGAACCCGGAATCACTCTTCGGTTCCCCGGATCCACCTTCGGACGCATGGTATATTATTCTATGTTATTTACGAAGCATCGTGCATTATTGGGAGGTTAATTCCCGATAAACGCGGTTGTGTCAACAGAGGAATGAGGTTTGACGAATAAGGCAAACACAAAGATCGTTCTCTTGCCCCACCCGATAATGCGTCGTCTCAGTCGTAGTGAGTAAGGCTAAGCGTGGGCGGAGTCACTGCCGTGGCAGCGGGCACAGCGCACAGCGATGCGCGGTGTCCGACGACGCAACGCGAAGCTGCGACGGAACGACGAGACGACGACGACGATGAGAGCGACGACGAGACAGCGGATGGGCACCCAGGAGGAGGAGGCTGGTACGCACGCAGATTCGTGTTGCCGGGGCTGCTAACTCCACCCCGTGTATGCGAGGGAAAAAAACTGTGCCTGGAATGTTCCAGATTGTTCCAAACGGCGCTTTTGGTTGTCCAGCACATTTTTGAGCACGGATTGCTGAAAATAGCCGAAAGTCATACTGGTTTCAGAAAATGATATTGTATTAAACATAATTTAATATCACTTTCCAAAAAAATCTGTCTCGTTTTTTTCGTCAATTCCAAAAAATTGTAGTTTTCTTTCACCCTTATTTCAAGAAAACATTAATTATTACCTTACCGTATAGGAATCTCTTGATATCGGCTGTTGTAATATTCCGAATGGTGCTGTCATATATTAACGTTCTCTTCGTTGAGATAAAAATTAGTGACATATTGTAATGAAGGACATTTCTTTCTTAAAAATCAAATTTTTGGTTAGAGATTAATAAAGGTTTTCGTTATGGGTAAGTCCATATATATATATATATATAATATATATGTATATATATATATATATATA